AGGCTTCTTCTTCTTCCTAGGCCTCTTCTTCCTAGGCCTCCTCTTCCTAGGCCTCCTCTTCCTAGGCCTTCTCTTCCTAGGCCTCCTCTTCCTAGGCCTCCTCTTCCTAGGCCTCCTCTTCCTAGGCCTCCTCTTCTCTCTAGGCTTCCTCTTCTTCTTATCTTTCTCTTCTAAATTTTAGGTAAGGTAGCCTATTAGGATAGATAGGTAGGTAGGTAGGAAGGTAGGAAGGTAGGAAGGTAGGTTTTATAGGGTAGTAGTAAGTAGACGTTGTAGTATAGAGAAGTGTATTTAGTATAAGAATACGTCGGGGGTGACGGATGGCGGTTGGCCGCTTTGGCCGACCGTCGTAAGGCGGGCGAGGCTGGAACGGCTGGGCTGGGACGGGCATGAAGGTTCAACAAGCACTTTGTGGTTGTGAGTCTTGTCATGGGGGCTCAGAGCTCATTGTTGGGGTGACGACGATAGATTGTGACGGTACTTCAATTCAGTTGGAAAAAGACAGGTCTGTAAATGTACACGTATGAACAGTTCCGTGGTAGCAGGCTACCTCCTAGTAGTCAGCTCAAGATCGAGACTGAAGATGATACTGGCTCATTCGGAGTAGTCCATGTAGGGGAACCAGCGAGCTATTTCATGCACAACACACGACATCAGGCGTAGAAGCCCACCGAGTTCGAAGTGATTCTTTGAACATCATCTGTCCCTGTTCAACTCGCAGCTCAATTGGGCGACAGCTGGACAACGAATGGACGAAGTGCTTCGATGGTGCTGTGTGACAATAACGTTGTAGTGTTGTTACATGCCCCGCGTTTGTCTAGACGGTGGACATTTCGATGCATCTCTCTCTTTCATACATAGTCTTCCTCGCGATGCACACGCCGACGTGTTCTTTTCTCTGTACAAACCATGCGTATGTCTGGGTACTCCCGCTTTCGAAGCACAGTCATGTAGGTTCTCCATGCAAGCCTGAACCGTTGTGGTCGGAAAGCCATTCGTTCAGATTGTGTGCAGCGGACGCCCGATGAACGCGTTCCTGAGCCATTCGTGTCGATGCGAATCAACTGTATCGCCAAGCACCTGTGGTGCCAGGCGTGAGTAGAGTGAGTAGCATCCCAGTCCAGGCTGCTTCTCCCTACGAACCACCTCTGCACGTGGTCATTTTTCTGTCCAGAAATTTCCCATATGGGAGGTTGTTTTTCCCCAAACGCCATCCCATGCCGCTAATGGTATCAAAATCTTCGCGTCCACCTCAGCCTCTTGTCCGTTTATTGCACGTTGCTCCTACAACGCGCTACTTCCTCTTGTGCGGTCCAATAATCTGTGGGTAGAAGCGCGATAAATGATGATTGATGGTGTTCTTCGATTGCTGGGCCGTCTTTCGCGCATCCATACAGGCTCGTAATTGTTGTTCTATCACTGCGCATCCCGCTGCGCTATATCCCGATGAAGCCCAGCAGCCTGCCGTATCCATTAGTGGCCATTCCTGGCTTCTTCTCGATGACCTCGTTTGACCATACCCAACATGCTGCTCATGATTGTCAGGCATGGATTTTCTTCGCCCTTGTTCGGTTTTCGCACTCGCAGCTTAGGCAAGGGTGGTAGTTTCGGGGTGGTTGTCTGAGCTGCTCTGGCCAAAGCCTCCTTGGATGTCTTTCCCGCCACCATCTTCTCAGTTTGACGATCTCAGTCCAGTTGCATCGCAGGTGGGCTCGCGGTACGGTAGTAAGGTATGACAGGGTATAGACTTAAGGTATCGGTGGAAACACTTCCGCGGCCTAATTTCCTCGCACGTGAACTGGCGTCTCGATCAGACTAGCGCGACAGATTGTTGTGATCGAGAGCGTTGCCGCTGTCCCGCTCTTATCAACACACGCGAGACTCAGCCCTCTCCATTCACCATTCCGCCTGCTTCACCCCACTCACTCGACATTCACCGTGCTGCTGGAGATACAGCGGCTCGACACAATGGAGGACAGTGCGCCATCCATAACTAGCATCCATAACCACATCGACCACGCCACCGCAGACCAACAGCAACAGCAACAGCAACAAGCATCTTCTTCGGACCTAAGGGCAGACCACGCTGGCGCGTCCGCGCAACTGGAATGGGACATGCAGGCTGCTGCAGGCCTTGCGCCGAACAATGTCCAAATCGCCAAAGTGCAACGCGCCTTCGACCGCAAGCCCACCTCGCCGTTCTCGCGTCGCCGCTTCAAAGTAGGCAAGATCATGAAGCGCACTGGACCCGGATCTACAAATGCTGCGCCCGCAGGCATGTTCAACGTGCACATTCGTGACTCTGCTATGAAGACAGCAGCCGGCGGCAGCACACCGGTGAAAGCGGTCAAAAAGATGCGCCTGGAGAACGATACCATGGATCGTGCCATGAGTATAGTTAGTAATTGGGATGGGAGGGAAAGTCCCAAGAACCGGAGAATCGCCACGAGAAGCTCGCTGGGACAAGAGGCGTTGATCGCTTTGGCCGAGGACGATGAAAATCAGGAAGGTGAAATGGACGAATTGGACGTGACCGGACTAGTCGCAGAGAATGAGGGGGAAGTGGAGGGGAGAAATGATCCCGTGGGTACTACAATCGAGTTCTTTGACGAGAGCGGCGCAAAACTCGACACTTCCGTCGACGATGACGAGTGGGCCGACGCCAGCGTAGGGTCATCAGATGTGGACGGCGAGAGCACTGCTGCAAGCACGCATCTCGAGCTTCCCGCTGCGATTGAAGGGCAGATCCAGATTGGCGCGGAGGATGACTTTGACGACACTGCTACGGAAGTGGACGATCCAGAGGACAACGCTCGAGGCTGGGATAGGCTCCGTGGAGAGTTGCAGGATGTGAGAAGAGCGGAAGCAAAGTCTTTCGGGATACCATTCGACGAGTATATGAAGCGCTTCTCTCCTTCATCATACACGACGGAAGGCAGCGACTCGCAAGAGGGCAGGCATCAGCGGCCCAGTCCGACTTGCCCCGCGGCTGAGAATGCCACGGCGCAATTGTCGGAAGTGCTTTCCAATACGTCTGCAGCACTGCCAGATGGATTTGTCTCACCAGTGATCAATCGAAGGCGGCCCATAAGTCAGGTGAAGATGCAAAACGCGGGCAGGCGTAAGACGCTCCCCAAGGACTTTGCAGCGCAGTACGCAGCCGCGAGAGCCAGCGAAAAGGCACGCGCTGCGGCTAACGGGAACAAGAGTCAGGAAAATGAAAGTCAGGATTCGTTAGACGAAGCAACGACGCCGTACACACCGGAGCAGACTCACATACAGCAACAGCGGTTGATGAGTCGCGAAGATCCGATGGATAGTATCGAAAGCGTAGAACGGCGTGAGTCATCAGAATCACATTCTGCAGCAGGTGTCGTTTCTAGCGCATCTGCCTCTAAGCTCTCAAGTCCGATCCCGAGCATATCAGGATCGCATCCAAGATTGCCACTCCGACGCTCGCCGAGGAGACAGTCTAGCAGTCCTTTCAAGGGAAAGAGCATCTTGAAGTCCACAGCAAAACACCACTTGATTGCTTTCACACCCATCAAGCTACGGACACTGCCTGTAGCCCAATCTCCAATCTCTCCCTTGCCTTTCGTGCCCTCAGGTATCACGATAGAGGACAGCAGGCCCGAGCAGCCAGTGCGATCATCGTCGGCGCCGCCAGAGGAACATCAAATCACACTGCGGAAGCATTATCACCCTCGCATATCTGATGACACGGCGCTACTCGAAGCGTTTGTCAAACGAGCTTCAGAGAGCAAGAAGCGCAATAGCCTTTCCAACACCGCCAGACGCGAATCGTTCGAGAGACAGAGTGAGTCTGCTGTGGTCCCACAGGCGCTTGCTGACAGCCCTGGGGAGCGAGTAGCCTCTGGCTCTAAGGATGTACTCGGAGACTTGGACCCTAACAGCCCCTCTCCCCGCAAGGCAAACTCTGCTGCCAATCTCATGTTGCATGACGAAAGAAGGAATCTGCAGCTAGAATACGCAAAGGATCCAATCAAAGACGACTTAGGCGAAGATGAACTGGCGACAGAATCTTCAATACCTCAGAGGTTCGGGGCTAGCCGTAAAAGTGGACGAATGCGAAAGAAGCCCGAGAGTCTCTTAGCGGGCACCAACTCCAGACCTGCGAAAATCTCTATCAAACGTAGTGGCGAGGGTGTTGTTTTGAAGCAGACCGAAGCAGCCAGGTTAGCAACGGAGACTAGGAAGAATACTAATAGTAACAAAAGTGGTGCCGTTCTGCCTCTGGTGCGGCTCCAGGCCCTTCGGGCGGAAGAGGAGGCTAGAGCTAGCCAAAATTGTGAGCTGGGAAGTGACGTGATGGAGATTGAGAGACCGGTAGGGCGGCATGGCATCAGTTGGTCCGAGACGTTGGTATCATTTTACGAGGGCGTGGAGCCAGAAGTGAGCATGATGGCAGACGAACTTTCAATCAATCCGCTCTCGGCACAAGGCGATGCCAGTACTGAGCTTGAGACTGGCCCTGCAGCTCTATCGGCGAACGACACTCCCACGCCGAGGTTGCGACGCTTGAAGCCATCGAGAACTGCGAGTACGCCTGGGATTACGCCTGCGAAACGTACACTTCCAGGCGCGCTGTCTCTTGAAAAGGGAGAGCAAGAGTTGGAGGTCACCGCCGACGGGGCGCCCAAGCTGAGCGCGAAGCGTTCCGCCAAGCGCAAGGTGTCACGTATTGCAACGCCTGCGAAGCCGAAAAGAGCTGAGATGGAAGATAGGGACGGAACTGTGACCGCAGCAGACCACGAGACGTCACAGGTGACGATGCCGGCTATTTCTTCGCGGAGTAGTAGGGAAGAGGCATCGAGAACAGTGAAGAATGCTACTGCTGCCTCGAAAGTGAAAGCGACTGCCTCTAAACTACCCGCTCCAGCCACAAGCAATCCCATGCCCGAAAAAGAGAACGGACTCGCTGCGTCGCCACCCAAGAAGCGCATGACCAAGACGTCCCGCCATGCTGCTGCTGCTGCGCCTACAAAGCTCAATCTATCGGGCGACACAACGAGTCTCGGTCGCACCCCACGGTTCGACATCCAAAGGGCGGCTAAGAGCCGTCCAGGCGATGAAGGCGCCATGACGGGGCTCATCTCGAGTCCTCCAAAGAAGGTCGGAAGCCTGAGAGCACTGCCTGGGAGAGAGGTAGCGAGAGGACTCGTGCTTGGAGCGGGGGTCGGGGTTGAAGATGAAGACCCGCACCACCATGGTGAGGTCTCGATGAGAAGTCCGGCCAAGAAGGGTGGGAAGAGAGCAGCAGCAGCAACAAATTAGGTGGCTCGCCTTCTGGACGTTATAAGGCTCGTGGGGCGTGAGACCTGCCACCAGTCACACACATCAGGCGGAGAATACGATACTACGCACATTGCCAGTGAGTCTCGTTGGAAGTGAGGTCGAGTTAGACTCAGCCTGGACGCCTCCCCCGCCGAACCCTTCGTTGTAACCCGGTCACATGATGATGATGATGATGGAACATAGTGCTATAGATCTTTCCAACCGCGTGCGCGCAGTCATATGCCCGTGTCCGTTCTATTGGGTTCAGCAGAGCTCGGTCTATCGTGTATACCTAGGTAGGTATGTATACGGTCGGCAAACGACGGCGAGTTTTGGCGATCTTGATGACGCGGGTCTTGGCACGAGCCCAAAGTGCCGTACTGAGCTATGAGCCTACATATACATATACAGGTATGTACCGCCTACAGCTTCGACTTGCTCGTGGCCAGACCCAGACTCTCCTCCACTAGCTTCACGACTTTTCTCGCACAACCAACGCTGTTCTGATATCCACCTCCAGCGTGTCCATAAGCATGAACCACCCTCATGCCTTCTACGACTTCTCTCTCCACTCTCGGTCCCCCATGTCTCGCAGGCCTCAGGCCGCACTGTACGGAAACGACCTCAAACCCTCCATCCTCGGCAGTCAGTAATTCGGGCACCATCCAGGAACATCGGTCCAGTATCTTCTTTGTCACAGTCTCGTCAGGTTCAGGACTCGACTGCCCCACCTCTTTCGTCCCGCCTAAAATCGTAGTGCCCGTTCCCGGCCGAGGAATACAATACGAGGTATCTCCTTTGCCAATAGTTCCCGCATGATATCTCGTTCTCGTAGCCTGGGCTTCACCCTTCACAAGGACAGTTTGTCCTCTGATGGGATACATCGCATCATCGTTACAGAGTTGCCTCGCTCCCAGGCCAGTGCAGTTGATGAAAACATTCACACGTCCACGATCGATCGCTTGGGATAGGCCTTCAGCGGTGTGTAGCGCCTTGGAGAGCCCGCCGTCTGTGGGCAACGTAGATTGGAAAATGATCACGCCAGACTTCCGGGCTCGATTTCGGAGGTACAGTAAGTGACCCGGCGCATCGAGACTGTGGGCGCGAGAATAAGCAGCGAATTTGATCTCGGGTGCGTGGGGAGGACGAGTAGCATTGATGGTCCGGACAGGCTCTTCTGAGAGAGCCATGCTCCGATAGTCTTCGACGTGTGACGCCCACCAGAGATCTTCTTCAATCGGGCCGTCCCAGTAATGTAGAGAATCTTGCATTTTGATGCCGGACTTGGGGAGCGTAGGGTCTTTCGCTTCTGCAGCGAGCCATCTGTTCCACTCTTGAAACGTTTGAACGTCCCAGTCGCAGAGTTCTGGTTCCGAGGATGTGGCGTGAGTCCGCCAGTGGGCACCAGCCCTAAATTGAAAAGGGGAGGTCAGCGATGGGACAAGCAGCATGCGCAGAAGAGGAAACTTGCCAAGGAGAGGTGTATTCGATACTGTGATCGCCTGGTACGTGGGTTGCGATTATAGTAACCTTATACCCACCTTCCGCTAGAAACACGGCGTTGGACAAGCCGATCACACCAGCTCTGGAAGAACGTTGTCAGCCGAGTAGGTACATGGAGGGCCGAAGGAGAAATTTCAGTGTATACTGACCCAATTATTACAACATGCGCAGACATGGTCTCGTACTGTGCTGCAATCAACTTACCTGCCTGAAGGTAGCGACCCTGGAGCGAAGTTCTGAAGGTACAAAGGTATAGAATTGCCGACGCCGGCCGCTGTGCTGAGCTTGGCCGGAGCTTGGAGGGATCGGCCAAATAATGAGGATCGAGTCATGAAGATAGGGCGGTTTCTGGTCACAAGATTGTTCGTCCTCACTGTATATACGTATATATACAGTACGAAGGTATGCCATGTCATCGCGTCATTCACATCGTAACGCCTCCCAACCCGCAAACTCCATGCTATACGCTGTTGAAATTCCGTCATTCATCCCGCAGGTCAGTCCGACGCATCTGTTGTCGTGTCGCCAGCAGGCGCAGATCTGAAGGCTGCTACAGCCTTCGCTACCTCATCGTTGGCGACGCCTTGCAATCGCTCGCGTTCCGCTTGATTCGCGAGCGCAGTTGCATCACGAACAAGCTCATATAGTTTTCGGGATACAGACTTGTTGATATCCGTATATTGATCTTTGTCAATCTCTTTGTCGGCATAGCGTGGCTTCAATGACACCTTGACCATGCGCTGAATCTCCTCTTTTGCGGGGTACGAGAGGTTTCGAGAAGGTGAATGCGATCCAGCTCGGTCATCAGACGATGCCTCGTTCCGTTCATCTTCGTCGTCCGCGCCACGATGGCGTCGGCCACGATGTCGAGAGCTGGTCCCGTGTTCTGGATCATCTCTATTTGCTGCGATCGGGGAGAAAGGTGAGAACGTTGCGCCGATCGGAGACATCGCGGGTATGATTGTCGACGAGAGCGGTGGCGAGGACGGTCGGTGTGGCGGAGGGGTAATAGCCGTAGGGCAGCCCACCTCCGAAGATGCTGGTGAGTGCATAGGTGATGTTTGTCGAGGGGAGAAGTGTCCAAGAGCATGGTCAGATGTAGCCGGAGAAGTCGCGGACGCAGGCTTGTTTTCCACCTCTCGCAGAAGAGACGAGAGAAAGGTTGGACCCTCTCCTCGTCGCCTTGCCGCAGCGGCAGACGATTCGGGCTGATCAGTAGCGCGCGGACGCCGGAGTCGCGGCCTTTTCAGCTGTGGCTGCTCAGCTGGCTGCTGTGGCTCACTTGGAGATGCCGGGGACTGCGTCGCACGGCGCTTGCGACGTCTGACTTCTCGAGGTGCTTCTTGGGAGTCTCGTGCCTTTTCAAATGCGTTCCAAGCACGCAGTTCCTCTTGAGACTCTGGCTCATTACGTGACTGCAGATTAGCTTGTGCAACGACTCGGAGGCGATTCCGATTGGGACCGGCGACGGCAAATCTTTCCTGCCAGCGTGCAAACTCCTGGCGTTGGGCTGCGAATTGGCGCTCGTCGACCTCCTCGTCGAAGGGAAAGTCAAGGTCCAGATCAAGGCGGCGCGACACTTCTTGCCAGACTCGAGCCCAAGTAACATCGTTGTTGCGACGTCTGCGCGGGATCGCGCGTCCTCCGTTGGCATTGCGGTTGGCATTGCGTGCCCGAGGTCCCCTCCGAGTGGCAGCGGCGAGCCCGGGAAGGTCTGCATCGTTCTCGAGGTCGGCAAGACATGTCTCACAGTACCAGATATCTGGGGCATCGTCGTGTCCAGCACAGAAGACGTGGACAGTCTTGTCACACCCGTCGCAGTACATGACGCCGTGGCCGTCGTCGAGGATACCACATATGAGACATGGCTCGAATGCCTCCACGGCGAAGAGCTCGTCCTCTTCGACTATTATGCCCGGGTCGATGTCCGCCTCTTGTGTTTTATCCTGGACTGCATAGCTATCAATGCACGGTCCTCCGACAGCATGGCTGACCTCGACCATGTTGAAGACAGTTCGACAGATAGGACAGCTGTTCGCGCGCTCCACCCACGGCTTGAGACAAGCATGGTGTAGATCGTGTTTGCATGGTAATAAGTGGGCAACGTCTTCGGCATCCGTGTCGGCACTGAGGAAGTATGCGTTAGCACATGTTCGGATCGCAAATCATACTGGAGGCCTCCAGCGGCTATGCATGAGTTGCAGAGCTAGGAAGAACCTCACCTCCAAGCTTATCTGGCGAATATCTTCTAGATCTTCAAGCCGTCAAGAAAGGAAGCATTGTACCGTAATGGTAGCGGTGTGTAGTCGGCGCAGAGGCCTCCAGTATGTGGTGATCGCCATGACGGCGAGGTCAGGAGCTTCTTCAGCTCATCGTGGGGTGGTACCTTTTCGCAATGGACTTCGTGGTAACCTTGGCGTCATCGCCAGCCGTCTCAGTCTCGATGCGCGTGGCGGGTGCTCCGGGCGGTGGATCTTCGTCACGTGACGTGTGTTGTTGAAGGTCACCCAGACACACGATGCATGTGTCTGCCATGTCTTGGTATAGACTGCGTAGTCTTAGTGAGCGGATGTGGAGGATGGGTCATGTGGTCGAAGTGGAATGGTGAAGTTGAAGAAAGGAAGATCGAAGCATCTGTGAGTTAAGAAGTAGTGGCGCTAAGGCGGAAGGTGCCGCGTCGGATCCTGGGGGCTCGGTTTGTTTCGCTTCTGTGGCCAGTAGCCAGCTGGAGCGAGTGACTAAGTTAAGGCAAGAATGTGAGTAAGGTAGAGAGCTGAAGTGTGCGGGCAGTGCAACCACACCGTAACATGCACTGATGACCACAAATGCAAGCCGTGATCTGCACGAGCCACTATGTCTCATAATTCCGATTGGCGCGATCAGGCTCTCATGCTGAATGGGAAAGACAAAAGGAAACGCCGAGTAGACGATAAGGTGGTCGCAGAGGACGTATATACCGTTCGCCGATCGAATGGAAATGGTAGAAAAATGCAAACTTGAGGTCGTTTCTGAGAGTTTCATTCGTCGAGTTCGCTAGTCAACCGTTCCTCGCTCAAACCCATGCTGGGCATCACATGTCGAGCCTACATGAGGCCATGTGTATAACTCCTTGGAATCCCCCCAATGCAACCAGAATCGTCATTTAAACCTCAGCAATCTCGCGCAGACGTCTGATGGTGGAGCGGGTGGCAGCAGCAGCTGGTGTCCTGTGGTGCAGTCTTGTCAGTTTGCCGCCTCTCTCTCTCTCTCAGGCTTGGTTTCGCCCATCCCAAGTACGTACGACACGGTGTATGCGCCTCCAGCAACAGTCTTTCCACATGACCTGCAGTCCCAGATTCCAACAGCAACACGCTTCACTGACACCTTTCCGCAGAATGTGCACGTGTATCGGGCGTGCTGGGAGATTTCGATCTTCTTGACCTGCTTACGCAGAGAAGCACCGTAACTGTTCCGTAACGTCAGAATCTGTTCTCGTGCCGTGTGCAGGCGCAAGGCTCGCGCCAGAGCCAGCCAGCCAGCTTCTCCATCAAGGAGTAGCCAATATCCAACTCGTGCTCCATCTCTTCCACGCAGCTCAGGTTCGAGGGAGGAGTGCATACCGGGTACCGTATTTACCGGTGATTCCGACCTTCTTTGTGCGCTTCGTCATGTTGGCGGTGATGTGTGGTTTGACGAGTGGGTTGCTGGTGATTCAAGTCGAAAAGCGTGCTTCGTGTGAAGCCAGGTGCGAGGACGAATTTTTAGCGCCTTGGCGACTTCTGACTCAGGCAGAAACGAGCGTTCCCTCGATCGCCCCTCGGACACGCTCTCAGGCCTCGCAGAATTACAATCAGGTACAATCAGGTACATTTGTGTGCATCAAACACGAGGTTACCTGTAGGCTTAGGAGGTGCACCATCGACTCGCGCGCGTGTCCCGTTCTCTTTGATGTCGCCGACGCAATATCATCAGCGAACTTCCATGTTTCTCATACATGTATCCGCAGACCGAAGCAGACTGGAATCTACATGATCGCCTCGTCATCATGTGCAAATGGCGGAGTGTCCCAACTCAGCACCTTCTCCGACCAGCCTAGGTACATGTAGTAGGAGCACGATTTACACTCTTCCTTGATCTTCCAGTCGTTACTCAACCATCTCGTCAAGAACAATGTCTCAGCAGCAGCGACAGTACGAGATTGTGGTATTCGGCGCGACCGGTTACAGTATGCAATTGCCGCCCGCATGCATTAGGTACATGTACTCGTGCTAATATCGTCCAGCTGGCAAATATACTGCTGAGCATGTCGCCAGACAGCTTCCGACGGACCTCAAATGGGCGATAGCAGGCAGGACAGAGAGCAAGCTGCGAGCCGTGGCGGATGAGCTACGTGTCGCATACCCGGACCGCGTGCAGCCTGGTATTGAGATCTCTCAACTCAACAAGAACGACTTGACAGAGCTGGCGAAGAAGACAAAAGTGCTCATCTCGACTGTTGGCCCTTTCCATAAATATGGCGAGGCCGCGTTCGCGGCTTGCGCAGAGACCGGCACGCACTATCTGGACTGCACTGGCGAAGTGCCGTGGGTGTACGACATGACTGCGAAGTATCACGCCCTGGCCAAGAAGAATGGAGCCATCATGATTCCACAGAATGGCGTCGAGAGCGCACCCACCGACTTGATCTGCTGGGCCTTGGTCACTCATATTCGCGAGACGCTGCATGTCGGCACCACGGAGCTGATCGATACCATTTACGACCTGAACGGAACCCCAAGTGGTGGAACTCTGGATACCGTTCTCACTTTGTTCGACTCGTATGGACTGAGCCATCTCGCGAAGAGCATGTCCCCATATTCGCTGTCTGTCTGTCACAACAACCCATCTCATCCGAGCAGGCCATTCCTAGAGCAACTGACCGGACTGAGAACAGTCCCGGATCTAGGTCTTCTCACGGACAGCATTCAGGGCCCTAGCGACATTCCAATCGTCAACAGGACCTGGAGTCTCTATGACAATGGCAACTATTATGGTCGCAAGTTCAAGGTCAACGCCTACATGAAAGCCCGGAATAGTCTGCAAGGATTTCTGATACATCTTGCGTTGACCTTCGGTATGGTAGCGCTTTTGCTACCGCCTGTGCGATGGGCTGTAAAGAAGTTTGTTTACCAGCCAGGAGAAGGGTTGGGCAAAGAGTACGTGCCCGCACAGCCTCGTTCACATCTCACATGTCTTTCCGCTGACGCCCAATTCCAGAGAAGCAAGCAAGGAGTATTGCGAATGGAGAGCAATAGCCAATGCGGATGTTTCGGATGAGAACGATCCCAAGCGAGCCCATGCTCGTATGCGCTGGAACGGCAGCATGTATGACTTGACGGGTGTCTTCCTCGCTGAAGCTGCCGTCACCATCGCACGCGACAACACGTTTGCACATGAGCTGGGCGGAGGTGTGCTGACGCCTGCGACGCTTGGCTCTGCGTACCTGGAGCGCTTGCAGAAGGCCGGACTGATCCATGAGATCAGAACGCTGCCCTAATGGATCAGCTGTCATTTGGTATACATGGTCGCCGCGTATTGGGGCGGTCTAAATGCGGGAACGGGAGACGACACGAGCCTTCCGCGCTGTTTGTTTGTCCACTCCGCTCAGTCCGACTCCGTCACTCCGCTGTTCACCGCCATTATCGCCACACTGCTCGTACTGCACAGTACATTATCCAACTCATTACACAGGGTTCCGTGGGCAATCGAAACCGCTGGTTGGCCGCACGCTAGGAGGTACATGTTTTTTTCAAGGTCTGGAGTTTAGCCTTTCAACCAATACCAAGAGAAGTTTATGGACTTGCTGTCATCAGATCATTCGACGTCCATCAGCGACGCGCCACCCGTGTACTCGACTCTCGACGTAGGATCGTAAATCCCGCTGCTAGTTCACTCTGTTCCGTGTTGCTAGGAGTGGCATCTTCACTAGCTCAAGGCAAACTACTCCACTTCCATCATCGGGTATGAATAGACAAACACAGCCACTCTTTCTCCTCACACCTCACACTTTCCATACCTTACGCATCATCTTCCTTCTTGTCGGCCAGAAGCATACCTACGATCATGGCAACAAGTTTCTCAGGCTCTGCATCGGCAGATCTATACATGTAGATTCTTCAATCCCCATCGAAGACACCAAACGGAATTATCGCAGTCATCATGTGCCGAGGAACCTACATCGTCTCCTACTCGTGCGGCCATGTGATCTACACGCCATCCGTGTGCCTGCAAGAAGTCGCGCCCCACTATCGATGTGAGCCTCGAGGCATGAAGATTACGCAGCCTCCCGCGAGATGTGTGGGTAAGAAGAAGTCTCTCACCACTGGGGCTCGATGATTTCGTCATACAACGAAATATACACCCAGACAGCAACATTCTTGTTACTGTTACTGTACTCCTCGTGTGCTGCTACTTCTACTTATACTGACAGATAGGTTTCGTAACCTAGAATGCTATTCTCGCGAGCTAGAGCCGAATCAGAATTTGCCCACGAGCGCGAGATTTAAACCGGACTTGAATGCGAGGGAGAATATGGAATTCGAGGCACGGGTGACTCACCTTGCTCGGGATAGTGAGGAGTCTTCGAGAAGTAGCGCTGATAGTCAGGCTGTGGCGGAAATTGCTAGATGGTGAGTCAATGGGTTCCTAAGAAGGGAAGCATGCTTGCGACATGCAGAGTTGCTGATAATGTGACATGTTACTGTACGTATGTATGGTAGGGTCATGACACTTCCATCAGCACCACTTTCGCCGAGTGCTGCGGAACAGACATCGTTCATGAGACTGTGAAAGGTGATTTTTTTCTCACCCCAAGGCTGCAGATTTTAGATGCACAACATACATACTCAAACCAACCATGTATGGAGGAACCGCCAACAAACATAGTGCGCTCTTGCGCTTGCTGGCTGATCGCTGAAGTCTATGCCTTGGAAGAGGAGCAACCAAAAACGTGGCTCAGACGCATGTCGAAGCCAGGGGAATCATCATCATCATCATCATCATCAAAACAGGACCTGGAACTTCGTGTTCGTGTAAGTCAGTCACTGCACTACCATAATAACAACAATAATAACACCAGCAGGATGTGCTTCCAAATCATTAAGAAATTTCTTATTTCATGCATCACAGTCAATCTGTTTCTTGACAACTGACTGAGCTCATGTCAACCCTGGCAACAAAGCAGATGAAGTCGGTCAGTCAGTCAGTCAGTCAGCCAGGTTGTTGGTTGGTTTGTGCGCCGACGCCCCCTTGTGTCGACCCCAGACTCGAGGGTCTTTCTCGGAGGCCGGAGTGAACGAGCGAGCAGAGCGGCCAGAGCCTTTCTCCTTCTCTCTCTCAATATATTTCGGTGGAGTGATCCGGCTCCGGAAATTGTCCTCAAATTGCCTGCCCGTTCGCGGGGGACCAGGGTCGAGAAATATTTGGTCGTTTGCCGCAAAACAGTCTACAGTCTACAGTCTACAACTTTGTCTGTCTCTTGCTCCGAACTCTCCAGAGCCACTGGAAGCATAGCTCGAAAAAGCTGTGAGTTTTCCGTCTGCGCTGCTGGAAGGCTAGCTAGCTACTACTAGTACCTAGAGAGAGCAAGCATCCATAGACTACATCGAGAAAATGGAGGATATTGCCTTCTCTCATCAATCAGCCCCGGTCGAGATTGGTTGGTTGTAATTGGGGTAATTGGGGAGGAGAGTCTAACCTTAAAAAAATTACTTTGCTTGTTATCGAACATTTTAAGGGATTTATCATCTATCGCTGCTATATCATATCATCAAATATCACATCCAAGGCCCGCCAGAAGCACCCAACGAACGAAAAGGAAAAAAAAAGTTCGAAATGTAGTTGGGCGAATATCATTTCGACCAAACAGAAAAGAAAGAAAGAAAGAAGGGAACAAGATGTGCATCTCCAAAATTTCCGAATTTAGCTGTGGACACGTCGAAACCATCCACCTGAATCAGCACTGTTCGTGCCCCTTACTTATTGGAGCCCGCGAAGCAGAAGATGTCCTCTGTCCCCGTAATTGCGGGAGTCCGGTTTCGCCCATGGCGTTTCGAAGTCTGCTGGGGATGGCGCAGGATCGCAGTCAAGTTTTCGGTCAGTGTCAAGTCAAGTTACAAGTCATTCGTAACAGTAGGAATGATGAGGAGGAGGGTGGGTGGGCCATATCAACCACTTGGGATGGGTTTGAGCTCAAAGTAATAAAAGAAAATAAACAAAGATAAAAAAGAATTCAAAAAAAAAGAAAAAACCCAAACTGACCACACGAGTCTATAATAGACATCCTACCTTGGGAGAGACATGAAGTCCGTAGCACTCCTCTGCGCAAGACAACACAATGGGGAACTTGCAAGAATTCGGGAGATGATGATGCTACCACCACCACCACGACCGCCGCCGCCGCCATCACCACCACCACCGCCACCACATACTGCGAAACGGCACCACGGGCTCCTCTTCCCAGACCCGAGAATAGTAGTGGTGGTGGTGGTGGTAGTAGTATCTGGGTATAATGCATCTTGGCGCATTGAAAGTGGTGGAGTGAACAAGAAGATGTCTGTGGGGTTTCAGGCATTCAGGCAGCAATTCCGAGCGTTATATGGCTTGCCATTATTCCCGAACATGAACCTTAACTCCTTAACCGCCGGCAGATGCGGCCCTGTCTGGACTGACCAACCTCATCTGTAGGAGAACGAATGGCGTTGTCGGATTGGCTGACTCGACCCTGCCAGGCCTCACTGGAATAGCCGCGGCCGCATCTCCAGATATATCAACACCCCTCGCCATCTTTCGATTATATCTGGTACCTATTGCATATTCCCCTAGACCTCTCAAGCAAGACGAGCACGATGCCCTTCCTAGCAAAAGAACACTTCCCCCTATCGAATAAGGATATTCTGTCGTGGACCTTTGATGATCTCCAGTACGATTGGGTATGTCGAACTATCATGGCAGAATATCATAATATTTGCTGAGCGATACCACTAGGACAAGCCTATATACATTGACGCTCTCGACGACAAGCGCTCCATCTCAGCGCGACAAGCACACACGCTCGTGAGACAATTGGCAGCGGGATTCAAAGCCATTGGCGTCCAAAAGGGCGACTGTGTTTCCATCCACAGCTTCAACGAGATCCATTATCCCATCTTCTTCTTGGGAGTCATCGCTGTCGGCGGAGTCTACGCGGGGACGAATCCCGGCTACACGCAGCATGAGTTGACACACACCACCAAGATCGCTCGAGCCAAGTACATCCTCACGCAGCCGGACCTGTTACCCAATGTTCTCAAGGCGGCCGATGCCAATGGTGTGCCTCGCAAGAATGTCATCATCTTTAATCCCAAGGGGGAACCCGCGCCTGAAGGCCTTCTCCAATGGAAAGATCTGCTCCAACATGGCGAGACCGATTGGGTCCGCTTTGACGACTACGAGACCTCCTACCAAACCGGAGCGGCCAGACTCTACTCCTCCGGCACCACCGGTCTCCCCAAAGCCGCCGAGCTCTCCCATCTCAACCTCGTTGCCCAACACATGCTCGTCTACGAAACCAACCCCCGCCCCTGGCCCGTCCGACGCTTCCTCGCTCTCCCCATGTTCCACGCCGCCACCGCCCCCAGCGCCTTCTGCACACCCCTCCGCAACGGCGACCAAGCCTACGTCGTCCCACGCTTCGACCTCGAAACCTGGTTCTGGGGCCACGAGCACTACCGCATCACCGACCTGGCCGCCGTCCCTCCCATCGTCGTCCTCGCCATCAACAGCCCTTTAGCAAAAAAATACAGTCTCGCATCCTGCAAAGTCGGCCAATGTGGCGCTGCACCGCTGGATAAAGGCCCACAAGCCCGCTTGCAAGCTCTCATGGCCGACGGAGCTCCTCTGACCCAAGTCTGGGGCATGACGGAAACGTCGTGCATTGCCACGAGACATGCGTATCCGAGCCATGATAAGACGGGCAGTGTCGGTGTGCCGATTCCGAATCTGGACGTCAAACTGGTGGATGACGACGGGAAGGATATTACGGGATATGATGTCCGAGGCGAACTCTGCGTGCGAGGTCCGTCGATCATTAAAGGATATTTTGAAAACCCGGAAGCCAACGCTCGGGATTGGGATGCAGAGGGGTTTTTTCATACGGGAGATATTGCGTATATTGATGGGAAGACAGGATTGTATTATATTGTTGATCGTAAAAAGGTGTGTGTTTTTTCTCCCACTCCCACTCCCTCCCCCTCTTCCCCCTCTCCCCTCTCTCTCTCAACGCTAACCCCATCGCTTCTTTTTTTTTCTGATTCTCTTCTATAGGAACTCATCAAAGTCCGCGGCTTCCAATGCGCCCCACCCGAACTCGAAGGCGTCCTCCTAGGCCACCCCGAAATCGTCGACGCAGCAATCATCGGCGTGCCCGACCCGCATCGCGACGGAGATGAACTTCCTCGAGCATATGTGGTGCGAAGAACGAAAAACGACGACAACAAAAACCCGTCCGAGGCAGAAATCCGAGCATATATGAAAGAACGTCTCATTTATTACAAGCAACCAGAGGGAGGAGTTAAATTTGTCGAAGCAATTCCCAAGAATGCTTCGGGGAAGATTTTGAAGAGGTTGTTGAGGGAGTGGGCGGCGGAGGAGATGAGGGAGGAGAAGAGGGAGAAGAAGGGGGCGAGGCTTTGAATGAGTCTTGTTTGTGTGTATGTGTGTGTGTGTGTGTTGAGCTTGGCGAGGTGGGCTGTGACGAATGATATCTTTTGTAATGATGATGATTTGATGATGAAGGATAAAGGATAAAGATGAACTTTCTGTCATGTACTTCTCCCCGAATACATGTAGTCGGAGAGGATCAAGCTGCCACTCTTCCTCCTCCTCCTCCTCCTCCTCCTTCACAATCGCCACCACCTCCCGCAGCCCTCGAAACACCATCGTAAGTTTAAAGGAGAGCCGAAGCTGTCCCATGCGAGGATATGACCCAGACATACAGCGGGAGTAGGACTCAAATTCTCGTATATTCATAAGACATTACCCATAGGGGCGTGCCCACAACATGTTGCGTACTTACTACATGTATACGAAATATACACATTATATCATCCTTAAACAGACCCATTCCCAAAAAAGCAGACCCTACTCCTACTGTTTGCAGACCAAAACATCGCCAAACACAGCCCAGGGGTATCGTTGCTCTGTGCTCGCCCATGGTTCCGGCCTGCTCTCAAGAAACAATAACACTCTCCATCAGCGATTCTTTGACAAGTAAGTGGATTGATCATCCCGCTCACAAGAAAGCCTCGCTCTTCACCTTCGACCTCAATCGCCGAGCGACTGTCAGCCCTCTATTTACAAAGCCTCCTCCAGCGCCTGACTCACTCATAAAAACGACGGCTTGGACAACGAACTCTTTCGTTGGGGCACCTCAATTTTCAGATCGCCACTCACACTTGCTGGCGCCACCGATGAGCCTCTTCTCGATCGATCGCCAAAACCAGAATCGCTAAAATTGGCCAGCGTGACGCTCCTCCTCACGCTTTCGCGATCTGCACGAGAAACAGCGCCCATACGCTCAAGCTCACGCTCCAGTCGGAGATTCTTCTCCCGTTCTTCGCGAAGCTCGCGTTCCGCACGTTTCGTCGCAAGTTGCGCAGTGGAATCCGACTGCTGAAGTTCGTCAATGGTCTCGAGGAGCTGAGAAATCTTGTCTCGAGACTTGGACAGGTCTTCTTGGAGCATTTGCTGCGACTTCTCTCGCCGTTCGATTTGTGATTGAAGGTCTTTGACAGTTCGATCGATGTTTCGGACGCTACGGGCCTCGGTCGTGCGACTCTTCTCGACATCTTCGAGTTGATTTTCGAGCTAATGAATAGTCAGTATTATGTTTCAATCGCGGCTTTTGACCAAGCATAGTTACCTCTTGAATCCTGCCATGCAGGTATCGCACGTCCTGACTGCCGCTTGTGAAGCCTTTTGTCTCCAGCTCGATGCAGCGCAGCTGAAGGTCTTTCGCACTTTTCTCAAGCGCAGCTTTCTCCCGGTGAAGTTGGACACTGCTTTCGCGCTGTGTAGCGATATCTTTCGACACCTCTTGAGCAAGCGCCTCAGCACGACGCATCTTGCCCACGGCAGCAGCGGCGATATCTTCTTGCTGAGCCAGCTTTGTCTTGAGCTCGAGAACTTCCTTATCAGACATGGCAGCCGAGCGCTTCGATGGAGAGCCATGTTCAGAAAGATCTTGCAGTCGCTCTGCAGCTTCGGCAAGACGTGCCTGAAGACCGTGCTTTTCCTTGATAAGCATATCACGCTCAGCAGCGACATCGTCAATGTTCGTCCGCAGACCTCGAACCTGGCCAAGAAGCTCGACGACCTTGCCTTGTGCTTCGTTGTGGGCATTGACTGCATCGTCGCGAGAGTTGGAAAGACCTTGCAGTGCGACCTCTAAACGCGATTTCTCTTTCGCCCATGTGGAGCTGTTGAGTACTTCATCGTCCCACTTGTTGCGTAGCTCTTCCAGCTCGTCTCGGAGTCGCCCATTCTCACCCCGGGCATGAAGAACGCTCTCGCGTTCGACTTCGAGTTCATTTGAGAGCGCAGCCAGTTCAGATTGGTACTTCTTGCGTGTCTGCTCCAATGAAGACTCCTTATCCTCAATGTCCATGGCTCGCTGCGAGCGGTAGTCCTCCAGCTCATTCTGCAGTCTCTTCTTGGCCTGTAGAGCGCTGTCGAGATCAGTCGACACGTCCTCAACCCGCTCTTCGAATTGTTGGACTTGTCGCTGCAAGTCTTCAACCAGGGCATCCATTTCTTTGCGCTCCGACATGATCGTCGCACATGTCTCCTCAATCTCTTTGGCCTGCGATTTTGCAAACTGTTCCGCTCTTGTGGCTTTCAACACAGCAATTTCCGCCTGTTCCAGTTTCTCGAAGTATTCGTCTGCTCGAGCTTTGTATAAATCCATGCTGGCGTTCAGATCGTCGCATCTCGAAGTCTCCGCATCCAGGCGAATCTGCATGTCAGAAAACTCTTGTAAGAGTTGGGTGTGGTTGGCGGCTTCTTGCTCGCGCTCGTATTGCATCTCAGTCAGTTCTGATCTGGCATCACGCAGCTCGACCTCCACAGATGCCTTGTATTGTTTGATGTCGTCGAAGGCAATCTTTGCGTCAGTCAATTCGGAAATTGCGGCGTTATGCGACGTCAGCAAGGAGCGACGCGACTGCTCTTGCGAGTTGATGAGGTCGTACAGCTCTTCATGACTCTTGGTCTGGATGTCTTTGATAGACAGCTGACCAGCGCGAATGCTCTGCTCAAGCGAGGATACCTTCTTGGCAGAGTCGTCGAGCATATCGTGCAAACGGAAGTTCTCACGTTCAAGTTTTCCCACGCGCCGCATGGAAGGGCTCTCCTCCTGCCATCCATTCTTTCCAGGAGTTCGCTCGATTTGCGCTTGGAGATGAAGATTCTTCATCTCGGACATTTGCAATTGATTCTGGAGCATGTCTATTTCAGCAGCAAGATCCATCCGGTTGTTGTTCATCAGTGTGTCGGTCGTCCTGTCAGATCGCGCCGAGTCGTGGCTCTCTTTGCTAATGTGACGCTGGTGGTTCGGCGTGGACACTCCATTTGCTGCTGGCGACCACGTCCTGCGACCTTCAAAGTCACGCCGAACAGCGTTGCTAGGTGATGCCCTGGCATTCACTTGGCTGGCATTCATCTCTTCGAGCATAGCACGTTTCGAATTCTGGTGGCGGGCATCGTTTTCTTGCATGTCTTCCTGGTGTTGCGAACGAAGCTGTTCCAGCTGAGACTCAGCTCGAGAGAAGCGCTCGGTCGCCAGACGCAGAGCCTGTTCGGAAGCGTCCAGCTTCTGGGCAAGGTCGATCGTGCGCTGCATGTCTGGCTTTGCACCATCAAGGTTGGTGGGTAGCTTCCCATGCTCTGGGTCAAAGATCTTCTGCAATAGCCGTAAGTTGTCATGAGCTTCGGCTAATTCGCGATGTGCACCATCTAATGATGATTGCAAAGCCTTGCTGTTCTGCTGGGCTTGCGTGCGCATCGTGCGCTCGGTTTCGAGCTTGCGATTCGCCTCCGCCAGTTGCAGATTGATGGTTGATGACTGCTGCTCGGCGTTCCTGCTCGTCTTGTGTTCCCGGTCGACTTCGTGATTCAGATCCTCGAGGCTCAGCGTGAGCTTCTCCTTCTGCTTTTCAAGAGAAGAGATGGTAAGCTGATCGTCATTGAGCTGCCGCTGCAGCTTCTTGATCTCTTCATCCGCTTTGGTCTTCTCCATCTGTAGCTGAGCTATCTTGCCACGCTGTGTATCACTGACTTTGGAATTGGATCGAGCGATGTCCAGGTTCTTCTGTTGCACCTTGTTCATCAAAGCTCGATTGTCATTTTCGGACGCCGTGAGCCGGCCCTTGATAGTGACGATCTCGCGCTCGAGGCGCTGCTTTTCCTGATCATGGTGCAGCTTGAAGTTGTCAGAGTCGGCAATGAACGCCTTGAGACGTTGAACTTCGCCAGCCAGTCGAGAGCGCTCGGACTCCGCATGCTCTGCCTCTCTGGTCTTCACCTCAAGCTCCTTGCGAACCACGGCATGCCGTTCATTAGCTTGCTGTGTAACGTTCCGCTCAACTTCGGCCTCACATTCGAATTTGGCCTCTTGGAGATCGAGGAACTTCTTGCGCAGGTTTTGCAACTCAGCCTGGTGATCTTTTCGGTCTTTCTCGGCCTTCTCGCGTGCGGCAGTAGCGTTTCTTGTCAGATCGGATTGAGCATACATCTCTTTCTCGATAGTGACCTTTGAGTCATTGAGTGCATCGAACTCTCGTTTGAGGTGCTCGTACTCCGCTGCTGCAATACGTTTCACGTCGTCGCGAGATTGCTGCTCCCTGCTGAGGTCGGTCTGCGCTTGGAAGAGCTCGCCCTTGATATCGTGCAGCTGCGCCTCGAGCATTTCGACATGCTCACTCGCAGATGTCTGCTCCTCAAGTGCACGACGTGCATCAGTGGCTTGGCGCTCGAGCTGGGCATGTTGCGTTTTCATGGCTTGCATTTCTGCCTGAATGTCTCTCAGACGGCTCTGTACGCCGTCATGCTGGGTGGTCAGGCTCTGTTTTTCGTCCTCGAAACGCCTGCGGTCGTCTTGGAAGCGCTTCAAATCAGTCTTGAGGATGGCAAGGTCGCTGTCTTTGCGCTTGATTAGATCTTCATAGCTAGTCGACGAAGCAGAAAGGTCCGACATCTGCTGGCGGACAGACCGATTCTCGTCGAGCAGATCGCGAACCTGCTTCTTTGCGTTTCCAAGATCTTTGGTGGCTGCCGCAAGCTTGAGATCAAGATCTTGGTCGTTCTTGAGTAATTTCGCCTCCAAATCTTGCAACTTGCGTTCCTTGAGGCTCAACTGGCTTTGCAGCATGCGTATCTCTTGCTGTAGTGCCTCTTCTTGCTCGCTCCGCATCGACCTCGTCTTCTCGACTTGCTCAAGGTGCGTGTCCAATTCGGCAATTCGATCTACCAGATCAATTTTCTCCGACTCCAGCTTGGCAATGATTTGACCTGCTTGTTCAACCTGGCATCTTCGCTCTTCGGCTAGCTCTTCGGTGTTCTTACGAGCGATCATGAGTTCCTCAAGCTGGTATTCAAGACCTTCTTGATCTTCAAGAGCCCCATGTAATTTCTCGATCAGCTCTGCTTCACGGTCTTGCAATCTGCGGAAGATCTCTTCCTTGTCGAGGGCGAGTGCTCTCTCACTTTCAAGTGTCTGTTGCACTTTCTGGATTTCGGCTTC